CGGCGGCTCCTTCCTTCGCCTCTGCTTTTTTTTTCTGCCTCTCCCTTTCCGGCTATACCAATTGGATACCCTTTCTATGGGTGTTGGGTCCCAGATCCCGCGGGTTCTGTGGGAGGTCCCAGGGGGGGGGGGGGGGGGGGGTGGGGGTATGCATTGTTGTATTAAGGCGTGAGAGAACCTGCTCAGGGTCATACGGAACCAATCCAGCTGCCCTGAAGCCACCCTTGATGTTGTTCTCAGTCAGGGCCTGCATCTGAGCTGCAGGATATAGGGCCAGAAACTCCTCCTTGTCAATATGATTGATCCCAAGCCGCATCTGATTCTCCACCTGTCGTCCATACACTGTTTTCAGAGGGGAGAAGCAGCCAACATTCAATGACTGGAGAAGATGAGAGGAATGAGGTGGCATATAGAGAGCAATGATCTAATTCTCAGAGCAGAATTGATCAAATTCAGCAGAGGCATGGCTTCTATGCCAGTCCAGAATCAACAGTCAGTGTGTACCCTTCATACAGGGTAGGGTCTCCTTGTTGAACACCTCTTTCAGTCAGTACAAGCCCAGCTGGTCATTTGTCCAGCCATTCTCACTGACTCCAATCACTCAATCCCTGGGCAGTCCCTCAGTCTCATACCAACAGGACTGATGCATCTTTTTCTTGAGAATAATCATTGTATGCAGAGCCCAGCCAGAGACATTGACTCCAGCAATGACAGTCACCCATTCCTGATCTCCAGGCTGTACAAGCTTGGGATTCCTGGCTCTTTCAGACCCAGTAACCACTCTGGCAGTCCCAATAACCCTCATCTGAAATCCAGTCTCATCAAAGTTGTAGATATCATCTTCCAGAATCCCATACTTTGCAATGATGTTTTGTACAAGCCTAAACCACCCATGGATAATCTCAGGATCCTCACATAGTGCACATTGATGGTCATACTTGCGGGAGAACTTGGATTTCAGCTCTTCATGGCATTTGACAAAGTTTCATACCCAGCATTTCACCCACTGTGGGTGGGGGGTTGAATCCCTGACTGGTAAGAAGGAGATTGGCCATTTCTCATACAGCTGCAACCTGGGGTGGCAGACCTCACTCATCCATGGCCAGAATCCATTGAACAAGAGATTCTTCCTCTGTAAGACTAAGTTTCTGGTTCTTTGGGGGAGTGTTAATGCGTGCTGTATGACCATGTACCCAATCACCTAAGATGGAATGTGGAACATCATACAACTTTGCTGCAGCTCATACACTTGAAATTTGACCATTTTTAAATGCTTGAATGGCTAAAAGAAGCCTTCCTTCCTGAGTAAAGGCTTTATTTCTTTGTGTGGTTGGCATTTTTGATGATAAAGATGTTGTTCTGAGATGAGATGAAAAGTGGCTGACTTGCTTATGTGGCCGACTCGCTTATTGATTATGTTAGTTGCCGTCTGCCAGATTACATAACCAAACATGAAGTGTGGTTATGATCGCAAATGGGCCCCTATCTATCCCCTTCTCGCTCTCTGTGTTTAATTATTTTTTATTTCCCCAACATTTAATGAATCCGCCCCTAAAAATAGATGTACACAATCACATGAAGCACGAGTCCGAACGCTCTTCTTCTAACGACAAATCATCGCCAAGCACCAATTATGACTGGCAATGACGAGACTTCACTTCGCGCTGATCGCTCAGCTTGATCTGTTACATGGCCCTCGCTAGCCAAACATGAACGTGAAACGCACTTCTCGACGGGAGCCGGTGTTTCCGCACAGACGACGAAACCGCTCTTCATCGAGTTACTGATTCATTTCGTGTTCTCATGTCGCTTTTCTCCTCTTTATCCCTCTGCATGCGAAACCTTGTATAGGCAAGCACTGTCAACTGCATAGCTCAGTTGGCATATCATGCAGCCAGAGACCGCAACGAGTGTTGTGCGATCAATGCCGGATCCCACCCCCCCCCTTTTATTGTATCAGTATATATAAGTGCCTGGGTGGGGGGACCAACCGTGGATGACATCACTAACCGGGATTGCTGACAACATGCCATGTGCCATTGCATGGCATTCCTTGCTCCGATGGGCCCAAATTCCGGTGGGCCGCTCGTCGATATTTATAGAGTAACTTTAAAAAAAATGCTTTACCAGAATACTGACCACCTTCGGGCGAGAGAGCTCATACAAAAATGAGCTTGCGTCGGCTCTTTGAAAATATCGATCACACCTCCGGTGTAGTACTATTTCAGTTGTGGCTGAATATCCGCCAGCTGTTGTTGCTCGGGATTTTGGTCACCCCGATTATTTTGCGTCACCAACAACAGAGAGTCCAAATAATGCGGCTGAGGTTTTACTCTTCTCAGTGAGTGCATTGCGATTCTCTGGATTTTTTCTTTTTCCTTGATAGGAATTTGTACCAAATGATAATCAAGGTCGAAGATACCACTCCTCCCGCCTCCGCCAGACGGCCCTATCCTTCTTGAGCCTGCACCGGGTTGCGGGTTGACACAATTCATCCGGAATGTCAAGTATTGAAAATTATAATCTAGGGCTTCCTAGTCGAGGATGGGACCTATGGATTGTCAGCACCGTAATGGTTGTTGTGGCCGGTGTCTTTGTCGTCGCTCGGTTAGCAGGGAGATATGTGAAGGGAGAATTTAGGATCGACGATTATACAATCTTTGCTGCCTTGGTTGGTTATTCTGCCTTTGCGAGTGCGATGCGATTTCCCCTTGTGTCTAACAAACGTGGACAGCTCAACTCTGTCGTTCTCACAGTCGCGGAAAACATGGGTGAGTCGTCTCCGCAGTTCTCGAGTTTTATGCTGCCTCGATTTACAGCTAACACAAAATAGCCGTCTCTAATGGGTACGGGAGACATGCCATAGATTTGACCGAAAATGAAATAATTATGTCCCTCAAGGTATGGATTTTACTTGCATAGTATTCTCTCGTTTGGGAGCTTGAATCGCTGCTGGACTTGGAGAAATGATACTGACCAGGGCAATGTACCATGACATTCAGTGGTTTTATGTGGCGCAAGTCTTCTACAAAATCGTCATTACCCTGACCAAGATGTCCATTCTTTTCCTCTACTTGCGAATCTTCTATATTGAGGCCTACTTTCGCTGGGCCTGTACTGCTCTCAATGTCTTCATAGCAGCATGCGGAACCGCGTTTGTGCTCGCAACGATTTGGCAATGCCATCCCATGGCCGCGTTCTGGGACAAGTCTATTCCCGCCTTTCGCTGCGCAGACAACCATGCTTTCTGGCTCTCATATTCCGTTATCAATATCATCACGGATATCTTGATATTAATTCTTCCCTTGCAAGAAGTCCTGCGGCTCCAGCTCCGCTGCCGAGATAAGTTTGCGCTGGTATTAGTTTTCTCACTAGGAGCATTGTGAGTGGAGATGACTTCTCGTCCCCCCTTGCCAACAGATACGATACTGACTCGTTCATAATTGCAAAACTTTCAGCGTTTGCGTTACCAGCATCATCAGAGCTACAACAGTCGCTTCTTCTTCCACCATGAATGATTTAACCTGTCAGTGTTACCTCCTGTGGTGATTACCACATCCTAACCCCTAGACACACTTTGCTCACCTATTCCACCATCCCTTCCAAACTCTAACAAGCAGCGTCATCATACAGGGACCGCGATTCCCGCCACAATTTGGAGCGTCGTTGAATGCAACACGGGCATAATATGCGCCTGTCTCCCCATGATCCGCCAGCCGCTGTCCATAATCTTCCCTTTCCTCTCCTCCAACCCCTCCCGCACTCAGTCCACATGCCGCAATCTCCCCTTGCCTCATAGCATGTCTATGAATGATCTCAGTCGCGTTATTAACCCAGCCACTTCCGCACGCAGCGACTTGTCCTGGATGGATATGGAAATCGATAGTCAAAAAACCGAGGCCATGGAAACAGCGTCATCAGCGAAACGCAAGCGATTCCCTGTAAACGACAGCGAACATGATATTCTATCGGTTAATTTGTTGGGGGAGCACAACCGGAACATGTGATGACGTCAGCTAAAACTTCTACATCCATATGTTGAATTCTTGACGAGTGGGTTTTCTGTTTTGGTACCAATATTTACGGGTAATCGAATGGAATTATGTGGCGTTGGAAAAGGTTTTTCCCCCTTTCTTTTCGCGTGATATCTACCGTTTGATTTCTTTCTTACGAATAGTTACGGCCATATCTCGAGACCAGAGGGTGGAATCCCAAGCGCTTTTTTTTTATTCTTTTATTCTTTTGTTCTTTCTTTCTTTTTTTTTTTTGGTCCCCTTGTGTCCATTCACATTATACCATTGTTCATCTCCTCTTACAATACCCCCAATTTCCCTGGTTGGTTTGCTTCATGCAGATGCTCTTTTAACATAATGAGTGATGTTGTTGCCCCTCCGTCAATGTGACAATATACAATCTACAATGAATTTCTTCGTCCCTTTGTCAACTCCAGAGATTTCTCCTCTTAAAAGGCATCATGTCATGCATGTAACTGCCAGATTCTCAAAGGACATGTGCAGAACAATATTACCCCTTCTGCGCCTCGTTTGACACAACGGCTTCCGATTCTTCGGAGGTACAGGATGCGGGTTGTGCCACAGCCCTGTACTCCCGGCATTTGTATCTGGGGTTGGAAAGCTTGCGATTTGGGATTCGGAAATTGAGGCATTCGAGAAACAAGACACAGATACTACTAAGTGGGTTGGTTGTTGATTTCGGGGAGCCGGTGTGGAAGGAGGACCGCTCACACAGTAAGAGAAAGCAAAAGGGGTGGGGGGTTATGTAAGAGAGTTTCCCGTTAAGAGAGAGATAAAGAGGAGCAAGAAAAGAAAAGGGCAGCATTCCTGCTCAAGTCTTTCATCTCCGACCCTCCTCGCCGTCGGACCCGTTCCGCCTATCCTTTCCGTGAAGCCCATATGATGGGGGATGATGTGACTGGATGAAATGAATCCATTGAATGCAATCCACTCAGGGTGGGCCCTGGCGACGTATGAAGATATATATGCGTATATCAAGCATGGGCACCAGCAATTGCATCAAGTATCTCACTCATAGTCGCTCCCTTCTTTCTGCATCACTTCCCCGAGAAGTTGATGAGCCGCCCCCCCGGCGGCCCAACCCCCACCGTTTAGCAGAAAACTGTTTCTCCACCTGCCGAGCATGTTTCCCCAAGTTCTCAATAACGTCCTCGGAACGCTTCCTTCTCTCCAATCTGCGCATCACGGCGCTTGAGCCAGTATTTCAACCCCTCACTGGCGCGCAGAGTCATCTCCTCCAGTCGCGAGATGTGCTGCTTCAGCTCGTCGTCCGTAAAGTTATCCAGAGTCGCATCTGTAGTTGCGCATAGACGGCGCGACCGCCAAAAGATCTAATTCTGGAGGTGGTTGGGGGCCACGACGTCGTGGGGCGCGGGTGCATGCATACGCTTTTTGATGTGTGCCGATGCCCCCAACTTGCTGTATATTCCCTTTTCACTTATGATCTGACATGGCAACTAATTTATCTATGAGATTGATCAGGGGCCGGGCACTGTTGTATGTGTGATGTATTTCTACCCATTTAGCAGGAAATCAAATTGATGATGGTTTGTTGTCTTCAGCAGTCTTGATGATAGGTGTCAGAAAGTAAGCATGCGAGAGTGCATGACAAAGGGCAATTTTAATTAACATCCTTTTAGATCTTTGTGATCTTCTCTTCTCCATCCGATATTTTACCTCCTGCTTCCTATATACCTCTTTGTCGAATCATTCGAGCGCGAGTATACGCCACATAGGTTAGCCGACATCCTGAGAGCCTCCAATCCACAACTCTCTCATCTCCCATCCGCAAAAAATGGATACTTAAGAATGGGGTTTTCCTCGTCTGTCGCTTCTCTCCTTTCTCAAACAAATTGCTCTTTCACTTCATTCCCCATGTCAACTCAAAGCTCAAGTCTATAATTTAAACCCTTCCATCCATCCATCCATCCATCCATCCATCCACCCCCTGGACCCACGATGAATCTTCACCTGAATCTTCTCATCGCACTGGCCATGGGCGCGATGGCTATGCCCACATCTGAGACAGCACATCGTGGACTCAAAAGAGTATGCACCGCCGTGGACACACACCTTGCGGATATTACGACGACTGTTGCCGGGGCCTGAGTGTAGCTGGTGGTACGTAGTAAGTGGTATCCCCCTTCGTGAGGATTGCTAGGGCAATACGTACATATGCCTGGGTGTATAGGTATAGAGGGAGGAACAGCCTCCTAATATAAAGTTCATAGAATGGGATCTCGGCAAGTGCAGGCCAGTTGAAGAGCAGAGGCGAGAAAGGCTCTCCAGGCAGAACCGCGCTGAGGATTGGGGCTCCTGTTGATTGGAATGCGGCATTTTATCTTCTCCCCATGTGTATGACGGGATCAGAGCGATACGGTGCAAAGCTGAGGCTGGAAATCAAGACGTAGGAGGGGTTCCCCCGCAAGCGACAGGCAGTACAAGAAGCTGATTCTGGACTGGGTAACTCGTGTACTAAGCATAGATTGAACCAGGCGGGCAATCTGGGGGAAAAAGTGGGGATACTGGCTTTTTTCAGAGAATTTTTTTGTCTTCATGCTCCATGTGAGTTTTGTTTGTTCTGTTTCAATATTTCTTCTTGAATCAATGAAGGATGGCACTACTCCATCAAACTCACAGGCAACTCAGTCTGGTTACTTAGATGTGAACATAAAAACGCTCATTCTCAGGTGGTATTCTAACCCTGGAAGACTAGGTTCATTCATTCTGCTCCCTTTCTGGTGGATAAAATCAGGTAAAGTGTTTTGGGAGATCTTGAATTGTCATTGTTGATTGAAGGATCGTGCTTTGTTGCTGGCTTCATTGTCTGAACAAAGGGTATCACCATGCCTCAAACCCTTTAACCACTTCCCCAAAGTCTGATGGGCTGTGAAAAGGTATTTAAGGAGATATATCCCAGTTACTTCCACGTCTGATCAAGAACGATTCTCCAAACAGTTTGATATACATAATATTTCTATCGTGTGCGTGCTTGTCTTGGTAGGCACATCAGAAGTTGAAGTGTTTCCCCATTCACATTAAATCTGCTGGTTCCAGATAAAATCAATGAAGTCTTACAGCATTGTCACCATCCTCACCATGCTCAGCGCTGCCATCGCCGCACCTGGAAAGCCCAAATCTAAACTCGAAACTGTCGTCGACGCTGATGAGCCTTTAATTGCGACATGCTACCGTGCTGGCAGGGCATGCCAGTGGCCAACGGATTGCTGCCCCGGTCTAATTTGCGAATGGGATCTTGTAAGTAGAGCCAATATCATCACCTTTCCATCCGTTACTCCGCATAAGTCAATATACCAAAGGAAATACGAAAAGAGACACACGTTGAATAACAGAATTGGCAGGCGAATCGAGAATGGCAGGGTACTGCTGTTTGCAAGGACCCTGAAAGGGTGGGCATCCACGGTTAACAGCGAAATCGGGAGCCAAGTCCAACGAAAAACAAGCCTATTGCTGGGAGAGTTCCGCATCTCGAGTTTTTTAAGGATGGGGAATGACCGATATGGATGGAAAAGAGCCTGCAGGAGTGGAGATGGAGATAGTGGCAGGAGATGTTTGTTTCTTTTTCCGTCTCGCTGGCGAGCTGTTGCTCTGGATGGGTTGGGATATCTATCCCCCTGGACGTGGATCCCACGCTAGCTATACAAATTGCTTGCAGGTTTTTCTATAAATACATGGAACTATGTATGTACACTAGTTTAATCTGCAGGCCAGGAAGATCATCCTTCAACTGAACTCTGGAATTAATATGTGCCATAGGTGGTTGGTAGAAGACCTTGGAAGATGGAACTTGTCAATCCGTGGAGAGATAGGAGGAAATAAGTGCTCGTGTTTGAACCACAATTGTTTTATCAGAATTTCTATTAATTATGCGTCGAGGAAGTTTTAGTCTCGCATCAGGTGGTGTCTAAGTCTGCAAGAATTGTCAGCAATAGGTAAATTGACACAGACAAAGAGATGTAAGAATAAATATGGGTAAAATGGGATGAAGATGTTCAATGAAACTATATTAAGCAAGTCACATTAATAAATCAGTGAGTCAACCTCCTCCTCATTTCTACATGTTTATTTATAACAAAATAGGACAAAGGAAAAGTAGATTGATCTGAATTAAGAATTATTTATAAATCAGCTTTCACATATACTAACTACACCGTGATGCTGCATATTTTTGGAATGAGAGTCAGGATTCTCTCTCTCATCTCATCTTTCTCTTTATTGAGACTGTGTACACAATCTCTTTCTTCTTTAACTCTCAAAACGTCTTCCTGAGCTAGTTACATATACATGATCTTTCTTCTATTTTCTCTTCACTCCTCATTAGCTAATTACGTATTTCTTTGCCAGAATAGCAGCACTATGTATAGTCATTTAACATCTTTTGATCAGCAGATCTATAGCTTAAGTAATTGAATTAGATGAACTCTGCATATAATATTAAAAAATATTTATTCTTCTTGCCTACTCTGGATTATTCATTTGCGCTCTCCTGGTTGTCTGTGAATAGCGAGTCTCCACTCGGGTGTCAATTAGTTAACCGCTATAATCTGGGCACCTTTCAGCTCAGCTGCCTGGCTGTTCCCGAGTCTGCTAGGTGACAACAAACAGTCTTGACAACCAACTTTGATAACTATGTACGGGGTGCGTATAAATATGGCTATCTCACTCAAGGTATTCTTCGGCACCATTTTTGGCAGGCGGGTTGAGGCGGCCATGTCTCGAGATCTTTTTGTCATGATCGCAGCCTTTCATTGAAGTTCTCGAGCACTGATCGACTTCACTTCAGAACGCTCCTCTGCTCATTGAAACTTTCAATTTTCAATTTCAGTCATTTGATCAAATTCTCATTGTGTTCCTCTGCAAGTAATCGATCATCCTGGTTGAAAAGCTCATAATCCAGCGTTTTATTTGCGTCCTAGATCTCGTAGAACTGAAGGATAATTGAATATGAGAGGCTATCCCAGCCGTCCCTGACCATTTCGTATTCTAAACGTGCAACTTCTGCGGGTCTAAGGCCTTATCCTCTGGTAGGAAGACAAACTGGTCGACGGAATAGGTGATCAACTGCTTCTCGGCGTGGGGTGCTTGGGAATGGCCTTGGATTCTTTGATCCCTTTCAGGATTGGCAGACTGGGTATACCCAATGATGGCCGCCAAATTAAATAACTACCCCTTGTGTCCAGCCTTTGCCACTCACTCTGGTAGATAGCCATTACGAATGGCACTACCCGCCCATCGCCGCTAACTGTCGGGAAAGATGTGCCCATCTCTAGTACAGGTATGGTTTTTTTTTTTTTTTTTTTTTTTTTTTTTTTTTTTTAAATTTTTTTTTTTTAAATTTTTAAATTTTTTAATTAATTATTTATTTTTCGATCTCTGTATGAAATGCTCATTGGGCCTCAATGAATTTTGGTTTTTTCGAGTTGGCCGGGACAAATCAACAGGTCTCCGGTTCTCGTTATCGTACAAGTATCGATCGGCGCTTTTCGAAAGGAGTATCTAAACACCCCCAGAGAGACGTCCCCTTCAGTGCAATTCTCCCATTACTGTCTGTGGCATCCACTTCAGCGCCATGCTTGGGAAGAAGGGAACCATAGGCGAGCTTTTCTCTTGAGAAGCCATAATGAGACATGTATCTCCTTCGCGATCTCTCCCACGAAGGAAGATTATTTTGTCGGGTGATTTTCCACGGAGTGCTTAACGCCGGATACATTGCCGGTGACACCAATCCGATATAACATATAGGATGGCCCGCTGCTCAAAAGGGGGCTCTCATGTCAAGCTGAAAGGTGATCGATCGCCTTCATAGAATCGTCAGAAGAAATCCCAGACTGCTGAGGAACGGTTAGAGGCAATCCCCGCAAACGTCCATACGCGAAGCATAAATGAATACAGTAACTACATTTTGACAGAGTGGCAAGCTTGGCCGAGTGCAAAGGTTTGCTAACTACGGGGACGACCATTATACGGAGGTATATTCATCACGTGATGAAAGGTACAGAGTGCCATTTACTCTCAGAACAAGCCATGATTGATATAGTTAAGGGTCTGCAGATCAAACTTGTACAATGCTAGATAGGGAAAGCTTATGTTGAGCCATGTTTGTAGAGGAACAATGATTAATATTGAACTGTCGCAGAGCAAGGGGTTGGTTCTTGTAACAAGAAACGGTGCAAGGAAAGATTAACGTCGAAGTATCTCTGAACCCACGATGCTGCACGATGCTGCTCTAAAATAGTGCGAGGTGGGGAGATTATCACCAGAATGCTGATCCAGGTTTAACTAGATTTCCACAATCTCCAGGAGGTTCGCGGTCCTGTTTTTACAATTCTCGACTGCAATTTCATGCCATTATTAGCTCCCTATGGCCGCGCCAGGTGGCCCTTCAAGCGGGGTTAATCTCTTGGTCACAATTAAGTCGTTCATTTCGCTTCCAAAGGCTCTTGGTCGTATCTTGGTCGTTTGCGGCCTTTTGCACGAGGGTGTGTCGTTTGGTTTTGGCGATACAACGTCCACTTCCAGCGGCCTGATTAGAGGCCACAAATCGCCATCGCGTCCTGATGTGATCGAATATCTTGGTATCAGATATGCTCAGTCTCCGGTGGGCAGTCTTCGTTTTGCAAAGCCATTGGCATACACTTCAGATCAGTTCTTTGAAGCGTTGAGTTTTGTACGTGTCGACATTTCGACCCCCCGGTTCAAGCCATGCTCTAAATAGTTTTCAATTTTGTCTCTTCTAACTCAAGGGCTATCACTCCCTGTGAGCTTATAGTCTCCGTACGTTTTAGATAAAAGACTCTGCTGAGTTTTTCATGATACTTGATACGTGATGTGTTTTAACTACTAATCAGGATTCAAGAGACTGCCCTCAAAACCCGTCACAGCCAGTGGAGTATCCAAATGCCACGAATATACAGAAGACAATTATCGCGAATTTCGCTGGCCAAACTGGCAATGAACAAAGCGAAGACTGTCTGAAACTGGATGTTTAGTCCAAAGCAACAAGTGCGTCAAAGAAGCCTGTTGTGGTCTGGATCCATGGCGGAAGTGAGTGATATCTACCACGGCTTAAGCGCTTCTGCACTCCAGTCTCCTTTCAACATTACTATCTGAAACGAGCTTCTGACATTCAGCATTAGGATTCACTGCGGGTAGTATCAACAATAAATTCTACCAAGGACAATACATTGCAGACCAAGAAGACGTCGTTGTTGTCTCCATAGGGTATGAAAGAACTCATCACAGCCGTAAAATTCAGAACTTCCTCCTAACATTTCATCAATAGCTATCGCTTGAATATCTTCGGTTTCTCCGGAGCCCCTGGGCAGCCACAAAATGTTGGTTTGCTTGACCAGCGCATGGCTCTAGAGTGGATTCGTGATAATATTGCTGGCTTCGGAGGAGACCCAGAGTGCATCACCATTTTTGGACAGTCTGCCGGTGGTGTGGCAGTGGACTACTACTCGTATGCATATACCAATGACCCAATTGTTAGCGGCCTAATTTCGATGGCTGGAACCGCGCTTAGCATGAAGCCGAATACGATGAAGCAGTCGGCAAGGTATTGGTATACGGCAGCGTTAGCGCTTGGATGCGGCGGTCGTGGCGATGTCTTAGATTGTATGAGATCGAAGAGTCCGTCCGAAATTCTGGATACAGTCACGAAGGTTCCTCCGGAGCCTAGTAAAGCCCTTGCGCAGCCTGTGTTCCATCCCACCGTTGACAATATGATAGTGTTCTCCGATTATGAGGCACTATCTGCCCAGGGTAAATTTGCAAAACTGGTCAGCGAAACAACCACCCCCTTCTCCTCTTTTCTTTGGCCACCCGTTAAACGTACAGGAGAAACTCCTTTTTTTTCATTTTCATAATCTAAACAAGAATCATACTAAAAAAAATATACTCTCCAAAAGCCGATGCTGGTTGGTAATGCAGATTATGAAGCTGGATTTTACAGAATCTCCGCATTTGCTACCAACTTAACCCTGACAGATACGCAGTGGCACCTGTTGAATCTTGCCGGTTTCACCTGCGCTGGGGACCGTACGGCAGGCTATCGAGCCAGCCACCGTGTTCCTGTTTGGAGATACCGATATTATGGCGAATGGCCCAATACTACCATGTATCCAGGAAGCGGAGCATACCATGGAACGGACGTAGGACAGGTGTTTGAAACAGCGGAAGATGTCAGTGGAGGTATTAGGAATACAGAATCCGAGCGAGAAGTCTCGTCGTATATGGTGCATGCATGGGCAATGTTCGCAAGGAATCCTCAAAGTGGTCTGGATGAGTTGGGATGGCCTAAGTATACTGCAGAAGAGCAACGTAAGTCAAATATCTTTTTTCTTTCTTTCTCCGCTTGTTCTTTTCTGCTTTGGCATCTTCACAACGCTTTTCCCTCGCTTGTTTGCACCTCTCCGTATTTTAGAGGAGCTGTCATTTTTATTAAATTTATAAACGCTGCGCTGACGGTGGCATACTGGAACCAGCTCAAAAGTTCACCGCCCTCGCTTTTAAAAATGACCCGAAAATCACCATCCTGCCCTCGGGGGAAACCGATGCTGGATGCGCAGTCCTGGGCACGGACACTTCTTATGCCAAAGGTGCATTTTGACACCCTGGGAGAATTGGTTTGCCTTGACAGAAATCGGAGTTTTGTGATTCCAGTACGAGCTGACGCCATATACATACATATGCTCACACACTTTTTATGCGGGTAATACATGTATACATGTATACGCGTGAAGTGCCATTCGTGTTCCGTCCTGGTCAACGAGGTTGATATTTCAGGGACTTTCGTCGCCATTTTTGACTGTTGATTTGAGGAAGGTCCATATGGAGTGAACCTATGCTTTCCGGCACTCGGCGCTGTTTCAGCATGACCGGTCGACCTCCTTCAGCTCTAAGCTTTAGACACAGCGGTAACTTCTCCTGTCGAATCTCCTGCCCCTGAAGAGATTTTGATGCTTGGGTGCGAGCTAGATAATCAAGTGGGCAAGAACAAGGACTGCTAGTATCGATATAACATCCATCTGCGCCATACGAGGCTCCTTGAGGCGGCAGTGCGGCCTGAGGAGCTTGAAAAGTGTTGAGTTATTTTTTTTTCTGTCAATCTAACCGCAAGTGAGCCGGCCTTCTTATTAACAATATGGAATAGGTTATTAAAAAAATAATAAAAAATAATTAAAAAAAAGCTATCAGTAATAATTTTTTTATTCTCTGTCATTATATTTATACAATTAGTTTTATTATTATAATAAAGATCAAGTAATGTTCTTGAGATCGCGTAAAAGCGAAGCGATCGTTATGTTCTATATAATGAGAGCTTCTGTACATAATAATATATATAGCCAGGTATGAGCTAGGCCTAAGTGAGGCTAGTGTGTCCAACATAGGACTAGCGTAGAAGAGGAGAGAATGGAAATTATAAATCGGAGCGGGGGAATAAAGCTCCGATAGCACCAGAGGCCGGAGCCCAACAAAACAATAATAATAAACAATTTATTTTCACACTTATTAAAAAGTTTCCCTTCTGTAGGAACAGACAGCTATTTGACAAATAAATTATAATTAACAGCAACAAAATAACAATAAAAATATTGATTTATAATTATTTTTTATTTTTTTATTTTTTACTTTTTTATACTAATATTAGTTAATATAATAAGTTTATAATTATAAAGTTAAATATATATATATATATATAAATTACGTAGAAAAATTTTATTATTGAAAATATGCTCTAATAATAAAAAAACTTTAAAATCAACTAGTTAATTTAATATTAGAATACGTAATTATTTAGTTAAAACATAATGATAACTTACAAAATTTTCAAAATATTTAATAATTCTCATTAGTTATATCCGCAGAAAAATAAAATCAAGAATTATATACAACAAAGACTTGATAACTTTGAGTTAATGAAAGATATTGATTAAAATAATAAGATCTGCAAGTACAGAATGATCAACCTCACTATTATGAAAAAGCAGTATCAGAATATATTTGCTGCAAATGAGAAAGAGAAGTAAAAGCATACAAGATCTAGCCGCTGAATTCAACGCAGAGGAGGCCTAACTAGAGAAAAGGCTGCTGAGCCCGCTATTCCGCCCGCTCAGCCTGTTGAAAGAGTCCAATATTCATTCAATCGTCTGCACCCTCTCTGCCCCAGCGCCCATGTCATACTCACAAAAAAAACTCCACCACCTCAGTGAGAGCAATTGTGGTTCTCACAGGCAATAGAAGGAACAAGATGTCCCTAATCCTAGTATAATTTCATTTAAATTTAATTAGCGGTTGTTTGAGCGTAAATAGGTCGGGTTAAAATCTAGTTAGTTGCAAAATAAATATAAAATTCGGTCTTTGCGCTCGCTTGTGGATTTTACGTTACTACTCCTATAACCAACACCAACAACCCAGAGCCACTTCTACTGGACTTGGCTAACAATCTCACTCGCCCTCGTAAGGCTCTCCACCATTTGCTGGCATTCCTTTCGTCGGCGGATGGTATATTCACTTTCGCGGAGGAGGTCGTCGAATTCCTCGGATCGGTACATCTGGGCAAGGAGCTCGCGTTGCATTTCATCTTTGGTGTGCCTGTACGTGCAGATTAGTTTGAGTGTGGGAAGAGAGAAAGGAAAAGAGCAACGGAAAACATACTGGACAAGATTAAGCATAACTGCCTTGGGGACCATGTCGATCATGGTTCTCTTGACGATGTTATAATATGAGTTTATCAGGAGTTCTGTTTGAGTCGTCGTTAGTACATAAACCCGGAATATGTCTACAACCGTAATAGATAAACATTGGAGCACCACATACTAATAACCTCGACCTCCGAATTCTCCCGCTCAGACAAAGTCCCGGACGCCTTAAGGGTGGGCGGTGGAGGCTCCATTGCCGCCATCTTCTTCTTATTCTTAGACGCAAAGAAGCTGCCGAAGAACCCTCCGTTGGCGTCTGACATGGGATCAAGCGACGGGCTTGCCGATCGTGGAGGTACTGCTGAGGGCGGGAGGGGTTTCCCCGTCTTGGGATCGACCTGAGTTGGCCTGGAGGCAGCGTGTCGTTCATTAACGATAGCCATCGCCTAATAATAAAGAATGGTCAGCAGGAAGTTGATACCGGGAGAAAAGAGGGAGGGGGGGGGGGAAGTTATTGTATAAAAACTAACCCGATGTCCATTCAAAAAATCCGGGTGCCCAGTATTGATGTAGCACGACTCCATCGCCACCAGATCTCTGACCAATTTGTTCGTCGGGTCCATAGCCTGCTTGAAAAACGCAATGACAACACTATGGAACTTCTCTTTGAGTTGCGGATATCTACGGAACGGTTGCTTGCTGAGCAGCTGTCCCAGAATCCTTACGAGTTCGTCATAAACTAACGACACGCATTTCAAGCTTGGGTCCTCCAGTCTCTTAATTTGCTGTTTGACAATAAGTTCGAAGGCGGTGGTACCGACGAATAGGGCCGGAGAGGAGCCGGAGGAGTTGTAGAGGATGGTGCGAATGTCGATATCTTTAACCTGGTCGAATGGATCGACTGCCTTGACGCCGTTGGAGTAGAGTTCATGGAAGACAAAACTAATACGCGCCCCTCCCGAAAGCTCGACACTGGATAATTCCTGGTTATTGCCATCCAGCACTGTCCGATATTCGTTGCTGAATTCCGTGATGATGTTGAGGATGATGTTTGCGCTGTTTCCGAGCATGGAGTCGCCAAGTTGGGCGAGCTCGGTGGTGTATTTCTGGAGAGAAGAGGCGATACGAGCTTTGATGTCAGGAAGGGTTTGTTTAATGTGCATCATGAGAATCTACATATCAGTGTTAGCTTCCAAGGGCGTATAAGAGCTCATTATCCTTCTGAACTGCAAGCATACCAAATTCAATTTCCGGGCAAGATATGGCGTTCCACAATATGACGACTTATTCCGATAAGCCTTGTGGTTCTCGAAGAAATTCTTCTCATGCTCCAGCGCATAGGAAATGGGTCGTTTATTCTCAATATCCCTTTGCCCGCGGTTGACGACGGGTACGTAGCCCAGACGCAGGGGAATAATTCTGCCAGCAAGAATATCCACCACGTCCGTTCCTGTGTCCATAAGATCTACTTTTGTAAGCACACCAATGGTGCGTTGGCCTTCGGGATCGACCTCTCGGGCAAGTTTCAGGCCGTCGGAGTTGGCAAGATCCTGGTTCGCAGCAGTGACGGCAAGGATAATGGCATTTGACTTGCTAATATGCTTTAATACCATATCTCGTATTTGCTTCTCGATATCTTTGGGTTGATCTCCGACCGGGACTTTGGTTAAGCCGGGCAGATCGACGAGGGTGAGTGTCAGGACGTTTGGGGAGTAGATCCTCAGATTGATCGGTACTGGTGAAATGCCCGCATTGCGCCCAGTCTTCTGCTCAGTCTCACGAACAATCTCATCTCTGATCTTGTTGAAATCGTAAAACTTTTGCCCAGGGATATGCAGGAATTCGCCATACTCGTCCAGATTAGCCTCCTTATCGGTGGTCTCGAGCTTCTCTTCCTTCACCCCGTTGGCCTGTGGTTTCACTAAAGAAGGCCTGTTGATAAGTTGTAGAACAAGGGGCCGTCGAGTTACGATTCCGGAACCTCTAGGCAGACTAATTTTGCGGTTCATCTCCGGTCAGTGGGGCCCGTCGCTGGAGAGATAAGAAAACATTTAGTAATAGCCAACTCACAAGTCCCTTCCAACGATATTCTCCAGCACTGAGCTCTTTCCGCTGGACTGTGAACCAACGACCACTATTTGAGGAAGATCAATGGGGTTTTGTACCTAAATCGGCGTTCCCCAAGGGGGTGTGTCAGTGCCAGTGTCTAGCCTCCAGAGGTCGCCCAATATGAATGCGCGGGGGAAGGAAAGACATACACCAACTGTCGTGAAGACATCCTGAAGCTTATTTACCAGCGAAATAAGGGTGGGGTCATTAACATTTATTCTATTCGAGCGCAAGGTTAGCAATCTAGCATCTTGAGCGGTCATCTATCACAGGTGTTTGGAGACGCACGAGTAACCAGTTTGGGGCGCCGACATGTCGGGCAGAGAAGGAGCCTTTGCCTCGTAGGAACTCAGCCAGCGAATACAAGTGATAACTCGGCAGAGGACGGCAGAGGACAGCAGAGTATCTGCGACGTGTGGAGGTGTTGGAGGTGTGTGTAGTGAGCCGTCTAGAAGGAAGACAGAGAAATGAATGTTGCATAGTTATCGCGCTACCGTGGCCCTCCCCCATGGTCGGGCTGGCGGATGACTAAGCCACCCAGCCGCTGGAAATGCTTTTCAAACAAACGTCCAGATACTTAAGGCATCCGCATTTCTCGCAAATATTATCGTGGGAACGAACTACGCGGGAAGATCACAGGAAATGGCTAAGACGGCCGCGCGTCATTGCCTTTACAGCTATTACTGTCCAGCTCCCCCGGCCCCCAAGACGATTCACGCAATCACATCTCCCATATATCTGAACGGGGACCTCCAAAGAGCAAGCGTTCCAATGAAAAGAGTCAAGTCCGCAGGGGGTGTTTGGATAGCTCTATGATAAATACCAAAGCACACAGACAGTATAGATGAAACCATACTACTTACATCGTCCTTGACAAAGAGATAGTGCACCCTCCGTTCACACCTGGCACAGGATGGATCTATGGAGACAGATGATACCCAAGTCACGGTATTAATGATTAGCGTCCTGAGTACACTGAGACGGTCATACACACACTTTCCGCTTGACAGTGCGGCCTATCATGCAACACCGTCTACAACGAGATGGGAGATATTCAGTTGTATTTTCTGTCATATGATCCGTGCGATCAGGACGCGCATCTAGATAAATCCACCAATAAAACAACCCACAAAGGGGGCTTTATGAAAACTTACACTACGTAAAAAAACAAAAGCGGCAGGCTTTTAAGTGCTATTCCCACGAAGCCTCCATCTGGGTCCACGGACATAAGCTAAACTACCAGGGGTCCCAAAGA